GAGACCCCCACATACACACATACACACACACTCAGCTTTGGAAAGACCTCAACAAAAAGGGTGAGAAAAGTGAAGGTTACTAAAGAACAGCTGCAAGGAGCCTAAATCTTCTGACCCTAAGGGTCACCTCCCTGGAAGCTGGCAGGTAAACCCCTATGTGCCAGGAACAGCCTTTGATGGGGCTTTCAGGGAAGCCAAGAGTGAGGGTGGGGCCACTCCCAACCCCTAAAGGACAAATAGGTAGAGTCTGCAAATCTTAGCTTGTTTTTGGTCTCAAACTTCTAGAACAGATAAACAGGAGGTCAAATCAGGGGGAGGGAAGCAGCAATCACCAACCAGTGTTGCTGAGAATAAGGACCGAGTCGGGCCATACCCTCCACCTTCCTTGTTTGATGTCGAGGGTCCCTGGACTGTGCTTTAGGTGAGAAGGCCTACTGATGTTGAAGATCTGGATTTTAACATATTTGCCTTGAACAAATTTTCCCACAATGACCTTGTGGATTTGGAGGCCCCGGGGACCTACAGGATAACCCAGTGACGTATTCCAGGCTCATACAGGCCCGTCCCTGCCTGACAAGTTGGATGAAAACTGGCATAAGACTAGTCATAGCTTTAGATAACAAATCTGGGCTAGGCCAAAATGACAAATGAGAAGGAACTGAAATTGGGCAAATTCCAAGCTCTGCATTTAACTAACCAACGTCACCTGGCACAAACACAAATGAGAATTGTTTCTGAGCAACTCATAGGGGGAAAGGTCTGGGCATTTTGTGGGCCACAAGCCCCATATATGTGTTGGGTGATAAGCTCCTTGCAATATGAAGGTACCTGTCAGTGGGTGCACCCCAGATACCTGTGACTCCCTTTGACAGTTCCTATGTACACTTCCTCTGGAATAGGCCCCCCAGCTCCAACCAGAGACCTACCCTGGGGCTCCTGGAACCTACCAGCCTGCATGCCAAAGGGCCAGAAGTGCCTAGAGGCTACCCCCTACCCCTGAGTGGCCCTAACACAGAGTTTGTATCCCAGGACTCCTATGTGGGACTTGGCTTGGCCTAAAGTCACATTTTCATTTGACTTCTGTCCTTCCCTATCATGCTCTCCCCACTCCTCATAATCCTCATCTTGGCATGAGCTTCTGGGATCTTATCCCCAGACTAGCAGTTAGGGAGAGAGTGGTCCTCCTTTATACAACTTAGGGTACCACATTTTCAGAGATCTCCAGCCAGAATGTATGTGCCCCAAGCAGGGTGAAAAGCTGAAGATGAAGAACCTTATTCAGAAGTGCCTTTGAATAAATAGGTTTTAAATAAATGGAATGTGGACTGTGATCAGAGCCAAGCTGGGGAAGAGCTGGACTCCCTAGGGCCGTGACACACCATGCAACACCATCAGTACACATGTGGATCGATCACTCAGAGCCAGGTGTTGTACATGGGTTATCCCATTTAAAATCCTCACAAGCCTATGAAGAAGGCACTATTATCATCCCAGTTTTACAGCTGAGGAAGTTTAGGGACTCCAAAACTTATGGCTATCAATGTGGATCCAGGGCTCAAACTCCAGCTTTAGACCACAAAGCTATGGTGGCCTGCTCCAAGTCTAAAATGTTAGGATCTTCATGGACAAGGCCCTTTCAAACCCTGTCAAATAATAATCTAGTATATCCAGGGTTCAGAGACCTAAACCAGCTGACACAGAGGTGACATCACAGTGGAAGAGGACCATATCCCTTGCCCCTCAGCCAGCAGAAGCCTGCATCCCAACAGGAACAGATCCTCCCCTATTGGATCAGTTCCTTATAAGGACAATTATAGCCTGAGGTCAGAGGAGAAATGCATCTCTGTGTCCTGGCAGACCCAGAGGTGAGAAGCCCAAGGAGGCCAGGCTTCAGTGTCAGAGGCCCAGGCTGCCTTAGAAGGAAAGCCAGTGGAAAGAAGGAAGAAGTCCCTGGTGAAGACAAAGGGTAGATTCCTGCCAGGGCAGGGAGCTTTAGAACTCTGGGGTTTGCTTCAAAGGACCAAGTACCACCAATCAATACCAATTCCCCTATCCTGCCAGGCCTGGCAAACCTCTCTTCTTCCAACTTGTATTTATTTTGAATTTAAAACAAAACAAACACATGGACAATGAAATCCAGCATTTCCCAGAACCAGACCTGAAAGGGAACTAGAAACCGGGAAGTGGAGATCTGTAAATGAAATCAGTGGTCAGGCTCTGTAGCCCTGAACCACTACAGGCGTAAGGCTTGGCTAGGAGGAGGCTAATCTAAGGGCCAGGATAGGTCTCTGGGCCCAGTTCATAAATTAATTAAATTAAGTTCAGAAATTGCTCCACCTAATGGCAAAGCTCAGCTGGTGAGACCAAGGATATGGTTTAACTAGAAGAGTGTTTTGGGGGCCCTATTCAGGATACAGGTGGGGCTAGATTCCAGCACCACCCTGCAAAACTTTATCTCAGTCTCAGTGAGGTGAGTGGGTGCTTTATCTGGCCTGTCCCATGTAGGGCCCAGCCTGGCCTGCCATCTTGTAGTGTGGAGGTGCTGTAAATTGGCACACTTCTGCTCAGTGGTGAATTCATGTAATTTGCATATGATGGAAGTGAAGGTCTCTTCATGAAGCGAGTTTCACTGCTCTCAGCAAAACTCTGTAGTGTGGGGCCCTTCCCCTGCCCCTCCTGAGACTGTCTTTGTTCCAGAGAGCAGCCTCACCCTTCTCTTTCCCAGTCTGGAAGAACCTCAGCCTTCCAGAACCCCTCCTCCTCCTCTCCAGATCAACTGCACACATGTGTGAATACAGTCCCCACCTACCCATTCCTCCCCCTTAACAGGCCCCTCCTAAGTGTCCCCACCCTCTAGGCTCCTATGTTCTGCCACTCAGATGCCAAATCTCTCCTCTACAGGTAGCCCAAAGGGATATTTCTAAATTGGAATCTGGTCTCCCCACCCACCCCTTTCACTCATTGCTTAAGCCAAAGGAATGAGATGATAATGGTACAATTTCAGGCATTGCAACATATTAGGGGGCAGGTAGCCCCACCTATTCTCAATTGCCCTGAAGTCCCTTTCCTCAGTCATACCAGGATCTTCAAAATGAGGACACCCTAGCCAGCCTCCTAACCCAATGAACACCCCAATTGAGCCTCTATGATTCATGCACCATGGACATGCAGGGCAGTCACCTCCAAGCCTCTTGCTGCCCCAACTCCACTCATCTTCCCAGCCCTTTTGTGTCAAGACCATGCTCAACTGTGGCCCTGTGCTGCTCCCTCATATCCCTACAACCATTTCCCCTCTCCCCTGGGCGGGGGGTACTGGAACCCCTGTGCAGGACCAGGAACAAAGGAGGCATGGTACCCATATGCCACACTCCAGAACATGAGTTACCTGAGAAGGCACATGCTTACATGGGAAGGGCACATTTCAAGTTATGAATGCCACTTAATGAGGCTTCAGAAGGCATTCTGACTTAAAGCATGCCTTCCTCACCTGCTTCTTTGGCCTGTTGGAATGCCAACCCTGTTTAAAAACCTGAGCCATCATTGCAGGGGTTTTTCTCACTTCAGTGAGTATTGGGTCCTAAGGGAAGGGAAAGTAAACCACCTTTTGAGTCCTATGTCCCTAAATACATAAGAAGCCCAGGAACAGGGCCAGGTCAGGGACCCTGACACCACCCTAACCCTTTGGCTCCCACATAGGGTGGCCTGAGGGTTCTATTTTAGGAGCTTAGGATCTTCAACACCAAGTACCAGGATAGACACAATCCATTCCATCCTCCACGAGCCTCAAGAAGTCCTTGGGTTGATGAAGACAGCAGTGAAAGGCCCTAGTGTTCCCTCCCCAGACCCAATTCCCCTGGCCCGAGTCAAGTCACGTGGGCAAGACTAGACAAACAGGCTCAAAAGGTGTCCCCAGGCCCCACCACCTCCAGCATTTTCTTACAAGGTGGGAGGCCCCAGCACAGGGCCCACAGCCAGTCTCCCTCCCTGCCCCTATCTATTCCTGCCCTCCCTCCTTGAAGAACTGCACCAGCTGGGAATAAATCTAAGACAAACGAACGAGATGATAATAGTGCAATTTCAGGCTCTACAACATATTTAAGGGCATGTGGTCACCTCTTCTCCATATCATAGGGTCAGTCCCTGACATGATGACCTGCAAGGGGGCGGGCTCTTGAAAGCCCCATCAACCCTTCTGTAATGTTCAGAGCCCCCACACACCATGATTCAGCCATGGCAGGGGAGGTCCTATCATTCCTCACACAAATCCACAGAACTTGACACAGAATGTGGGCTCAATAAATCCTTCCTGTATCCAATTGTACTGAACTGGACCAGGCTGTAGTGAAACACCCAGGCTTAGCCAGTCCTGGCTTTGAATCCTAGCCCACCACTCCCAGCTGTCCAACTTGGGGCACATCAACTAGAGCCTTGCCAAACATCTTGTTGTTCCCCCTATAGAATGGCATAAAGAGGTGAAGACTCAACAAGGTAAGATGTCAAGTACAGTAAATGGCACACAGGAGGCCTTTGCTTCCCCTCCCTCAAGTTCCCTTCTCTAAAGACCCAGGAAGTCCCTGTCACTTGGGACAACCCCTGTGCCCACCAATTAATGTAAGAATTCAATATTTCTCAGCAATGCTTTAAAGTAAAGCAACAGTCCTAAGAGAAACGTGACAAAGTTTTCGAGGGCAGACTGAAGGTTGAATATTTTTACAGAAAAATTAGGAGCTAATTTATACACAGTGCAGAAACCCCGGCCCAAAGTTCAGAGCCTGGAATGTGCAGACATGTGGCTCTTGGAGATCAAGCCCTTAAAAAAGAGCCCAGCTTCATGAAGCCAGAAGCCCCGGCTGCATTCTGTGATCTGTAGGTAGTCAATATTTATCAGATGAAAGATGTGCCCACCTGAAGTGGGTTCAGGGGGCACAGGGCCCACACTGTCCCTGGCCCTGGCTTAGGGCTGAGTCCATGAGCCAGGCCAGCCTGAGAGATGCAGTTCCTCACTCGGGGGCTGCACCAGAGCAGCCACAGCAGCTGGGACGCCGTAGGGACTGCATGACGGCCCTCAGCGGGCCCCTCCGGCCCTCAATGGACAAGCTGTCCTCACTGGCTGGCACTGGGTGCAACTGTTCAAACTGCATCTCCAGGTGCTTCTGGATGGCCACACCAAGCACTTCAGGGTCTACCGATGCTCCGTACACCTCCCATGTCATGCCTTCAGCATCCCACCGCACATCCCGCACAGGGGACGATGTCTCTTCCAGGTTGGGCCCTAGAGTTACCTCTGGGAACATGTGCAGAGCCACAGGGGCTTCCAGGGATGGGCTGGTAGCCACAGCCTTGCATGCTGCCACTGGGGCTGCCTGCACACCAGCATCCTGGGCTGACACCAACATGGGGCCCAAGTCACTAGCTGAAGTCATGGTACATACATCTTTGGTCCTAGAGCCAGGCTCTGTGGGTAACCCTGTGGGACCCCAAAGGTGGGCACAACAGTGGGAGTGCCTGTGAATCCCCCCAGGCAACTTACAGTGGAACTTCATCCCATGCTGAGCCTGCAGCCCAGACTCACTCACTGATGCCACCAGTTTGGGAAAAGCCAGGATCCCTGTGGCAGGCAGGGCATGACAGCAGCCACTGGCCACTGCCTCCCTCATGCTGCAGAGAAGAGCTGCTGGGGGCAGAGCATGGCAGGAGGTGGTAGCTGGCTGCCCTGTGGCTTTGGGCCCAGCCTGGGGACCACTGCTGTGGGTAGCTGTGTCCCCCAGGGCTGGTGGTGGTACCCACACCTGACTCTCCTCCAGCATCCAGGCTGAGTTAGAAGTTCCATCTGCTGGAGCCAGTTCTCTTTCCAGGCCTGTAGGTGGCTGTCCAACCTGGTCAGAAATACTGCCAGGCTGCAGCTGAGCCCTGCGGGCAGGTGAGCCACCGAGGGCTGAGCAGCTGAGACTGGCCTTCCGAGCACTGCTATGACCCCGGGTCTGGGTGCTATGGACCAGATCAGAATGGCTCCTCTGCACAGCAGCCACACTGGGGGCCCGCAGGCGACACAAGTCACCACTGTCCGTTGTAGATACATTTCCCACAGTGCTGCTTCGCCAGTGCCCCACAGCACCAGACCGTAGATGGGGGCTTGAGGTCTGTGCTTGCTCTGTGCTCTCAGTCTGGCACCTCTCTTCCACCAAGGCCTGGGGACTGGTGCTGGCCTTGCCAGGTTGGGCCTGCCACACAGTACTGCTGGCACTCTTGCGGAGCTCTGGTCTCTGCCCCCGGCCTTCACAAAGCAGGCTGGAAGAGCTCTGGGACAGTGACTGTGTGCGGGGACTCCGAAGTGCCTGGGATTCGGGCTCAGGGTGGCTGGAACTCATGGCTGCCTGCAGGAGACAAAAAGGGAAGGAAGGAGTTGAGCTGGGTATCAGCACCTTAGCTGGACTCTGCTCTGAGCTCATACACTGGGGAGACAGCTTTAATCTCAGCCTGATTAAATGGTCATAAGCAAGTCAGTGACATCACACCAGACACTTCAAATCAAGTCCATCCCATAGGAATGACACTATAAATATATAACAATCTGTACCTCTGGAGAAGGGCTCAGGAGACCACTCACCTATTGTGCCATCTGGTGACTTTTACTGGATAGATTATGGAGGAAAGGGAAGTGGAAGGAACACAGGGAAGAGGCCAAGTCTGTGGGGACCCTGGGATGGGACAAAGGCATTAGGGGCAGGGAATTTGGGACAATAGCTCTTAGTCAATCAGCACAGAATTATGGCTGAATTTTAGCAGCCAGGAGAGCTGGACTAGAATACTAGAACTGGAACTGACAGAATCCATCTCACTGTGGACTGGGGCCTCCTTGGTACAGTGGGGCTCAGAGGAGGTTTGTGGGATGAGACAGTAATGAAGAGAACCCAAACTGGGAATTACCCTGGGTACTCCCTGCACCCCCCACACCATCCCCATCCTTTCTGGCTTGGCTGAGCCATCATGTCTCTGAGACTCAGTCATGGCAGTAGTAAATGGGATATGATTCCCTGTCTCCCCCTCTAGTGCTAGGGGCAAGGAGAAGCCTTGCCTAACAACCCTGTACACATGGGACTCACTTGGTATTTGCTCATTCATTTCAAAGCCATCTCCTAGCTGCATGCTGGGCAGGATCTGAACCGGGGAACACAGGATTCATTTAGTTCTAGCTCTGCCCTGGGGACCTTGGTCTAGCAGTGAGATAAGCTGTGTATCCAACACCAAAAATAAGACACGTCTTCCATAAAATTTCAACTCCCTCTTTCCCAGTGTGCCTCTATCCTCCTTGTACCCTTCCCTTCCTACCACTGCCATCCCTTCCTCCAGCCACACAGAGCTCTCTGGAGCTGCTCACTGACCCAGCTGCAGCCTAGAGTCCACTCTAGCACCCTGCCACCTCAGTGTCTCCTTTTCTGAATCTTTCCTGATACTCTCAGCTGGGCTACCTCCACTCCTGGATGGGCATCATCAGGTCTGATGGTACAGTCTGGCAGACTGTCAGCCTCCTCAACAACCAGGACTTGGCAGAGCAAGCCGGTAACCTGTTCCTTGCCATCTGACCAGCACCCTGCACTGACCTGACATGTAGTTGGCACTCAGAGGATGTCTGCTGCATACTTGACTAAGAGATAAGCAAATACAAGGACACGCTGCAGAGAAAAACTCTGAGTGCCCAGACAGGGCCTGAGAGAGGACTAGGCCAAGGCGAGCTGGAGATGATCAGAAAGGGCTTTCTGGAGGACTTATGGAAGCTGGGGCCACAGAAAAGGGAGAGGTGCCTACATGGAAGGAACAGCAGAAGGAGAGAGGCTTATATTCCAAGTTTATGAGGAAAGCAGTAGGTTCAGAGTTGGGCAGGGCCCAGAGTGTCAAGGTGCCTGGACCAAGCCAGCCTGGGCCATAGTTATGAATGAGGAAGATCACTCCAGGACTCCTTACCAGGCAGGATGGGCTGGAGAAACAGGGAGGGTAGAAGGCAATAGCTGCAGTTTGGGCAATCCTGGCCCTACCCTCCCAACCCTGGACTGATAAGGACTGCTAGGAAACCAGCCACCCTCACCTCCAGGTGAGCAAGACTACCTGAAAGGGAGTGCAGGAAGGGCTCCAGAACTTAGTTTCTGTGTCATTGCAACCATTCTGCTGAACTATGCTCAAGAGACGGCTGGCGGCTATTGAAAGCAACAGCAAGGATGGTTCTGGAGCCACAGTGCTTACAGTCCAGTTCTGCACAATTCCATATGCTGTTCAGTAGGGTAGGTGCTAGTCACATGTAGCCCCTAAGCACCTGACAGGCAGTTTCTATGACCAAGTTCTTGTTTTATTGAAACTTAAGTAATTTAAATTTGACTGCCCAGAGGGCTAGGATATAGCTCAGTTGGTAGAGTGCTTGCCTCGAATGCACAAGGCCCTGGGTTCAGCCCCCCGCACCACCAAAATAATAATAATAATAATAATTATTATTATTATTATTATCAACTGGCCACATGTGGCTAACTTGCAAACATACTGGACCATGCAGCTCTGAACACAGCCTACCCTGATGAAGAGTGTCCATCCCAGCCAGACTGGTCCCTGGGAGGGTCCGGAAAAGGATGAATAGTCAAGAGAGAATTCTGCCATCAGATGCTGCTCTCAAGGAGCTCTAAAATTGGACAGGTGCAAGAGCAATAAAGCCAACAACAAGTAAATAGTAACAGCTCCCATTACCCAAACATCATCATGTACCAGACATGTGCCACCTCATTTATAAACACTGTCTAATTTATCAAAGCAATCTCAGGAGGTAAGTCATCTTCCCCATTCAACAAAGGAGGTCAAAACTCAGAAGTTCAGTGATTTGCCCAAGGGCACACTGCTGGAGAGTGGTTGAGCCAGACTTAAGCCCATGAGTGCATGAGGTCCTCTGCCCCTCCGAGCACTTCCCAGACCTCTGTCCTGCCTGCCATCACCCTGCACTGTCATCATCTGGAGCCTCAGCACACAGTCTAGCATCCAACACTCACAGTTGTGTTTGTGACATTCCAGTGGGAAATGTTAATGAGTGGGAGAAAAGCCTGACTCCCCACCCACCCTATCACTTCTTAGCATCTTCTGAGGCTGCCCAGAGTGAGGAGGATTGGGGCGGGGGGGGGGGGGGGGGGGGGGGCTTTCCTGCTATCTGAGAAGCCTGTGGTTACCAAAAGCCCTGGCAAAGATAACCACCCAGTAACAGGTTTAAGAACCCCAAGGAGGCCCTATCAGGCCAGCCTTCACAGCCTCAGCTGAGCCCCATTGCTTTGGACTTTCCTAGGGAATAGGCCCAGAAGGAGCCAGAGCCCCTGAAACAGGTGGGACAAGACTGGAGACACCCTCAGGCTCCAAGACCAAGTGAGAAGTCATCAGGAATAAGAATCTTACTGTGCCTGCCTTACCAGACAGCTGTCCAGTGCCCAGGCTAGTCATCTCACAGAGAGGTCAGTGACCACAGAGACCCCAGTATATGTGTGTGGGGGGGGGATATATACATCTATTGATACCCTTCCCTATCCCACCACCCTACAAGTAGCAGGTAACAAAACTGAGCCGTGAAACAGTTAAAAAATGTCAAATAATCTACAAATGAAAATGGAAAATTCAGAATGCCAAGGCATATCCTTCTACAACCTGGCCTTTTCAGCCTTGGGGGAAGGAAGGCTCCAAGGAAGTTATTTCAGGTTGCCCCCAAGGAGAGGAGGGTTCCCAAGCTCTCTGATGCTGGCACTTTGGGCTGGACCAATGGACCAGGGAGCCAAGGGTGGAAAAGATACAAGTTTCTGTTTCCAGCACTCTTTCCTCTTCTGCATATGTGCCCTTAGGTGGATAGTTAACCTCGAGCCTCAGTTTCCCAAATCTGCAAAATGGAAGTAAACTCCTAAACAACCTGCCCATCACAGAGAGGGGTGCCACACTGCTCACCAGAAAGATTCAGGACCCCAGTAGCCCTAGAGCTTCCTACCCTGTGGAGGATTTGTCCACCCTCAGGGAGGCACTGGGGTGGAGGGGATGAGCCTCATGGACAAGTCACACCAGCCTAGAAACAGCCACGTAGCCAGCATGTGATTGTTGTGAAAAGTAAATATAATAACATATGGACTATAATAATAATCTTCTTTCTCCTCCATCATGAGCAGCTTGAGCTCAAGGTATTGCAGGCACTAGTACTGAGAGGCAGAAAGGAAGCCATCAAGACATCCCAGAGGTCAGCTTGGGCTTGCATCATCCTTGATACCTTCATTCTGTTCTAGAATCTGGCCATCACCAGTGTCTCCATCACTATACCAAGTTTCCCAAGGTTGTTTCAAATCTTAATCAGAGAAAATACACACACACACACACACACACACACACACACACACACCTGGTGTCTGCAAGTCACATGCCCTGAATAGCATGAATACCCTGCCTTTAAAACTATGGAAAAAATCCTAATTTCACCCAAGAGACCACATAGGAAGATGTTTTAGCACAAGATAAAGAACAGGCACATAAAGGTATCCAAGAACACTAATGTTCTTTGGGTGATACCTTAATGTTCTCCTTCCTGCTCCATTTGATGCCAAAGTTGTGATAGCTGTTGCCCATGTCCTGTGGCCAATGATGGACTTTGCTGCTGCCTCAGGTTCTGCTTGTCAGCAACTAGAGAATCAACCAGTCTCTCATGCAGGCAACAGTCAATATCATTTAGAGTGAATGCCCCCAGTTCTGCAGGAGCAGAACCAAGACTGTTGGGTCAACTTGGTCAAAGGTTCCAATTCTCATCCCAGAAGAAGAGTCCAAGCCTTTGGGGTTTGCCCAGGAGTACTGCCAAAGCCATACTGTAATATACTTATAAAGTCCCCTCTTGTTGATTAGCAAGCATTTGGATGATGATTTCTGGGTCCAGCAAGACCACATGGGGAAAAAAATCCCACAAGGTCAGAAGAAAAAAACTGGTCACATGTTAAAATATGGAACTTATACTCAGACACCAGGTAAGGATACACACTCCACAAATCCCTCATTGTTTTTTTTTTTTTTTTTGGGGGGGGGGGGGGGGTGGGGCGATGGCAACCTCCTCCAGGTGGTTTAACACATCCCAGAGGGGAAAAGAGTCTGACAGGAAGGAACACACTGGGCCAAAACTGGGCAACGCAGCAGCAAGCACTCCAGAAAAGGAGTGTTTGCAGGGAACAAAACCTGCCCATCACAGAGAGGGGTGCCACACTGCTCACCAGAAAGATTCAGGACCCCAGCAGCCCTAGAGCTTCCTACCCTGTGGAGGATTTGTCCACCCTCAGGGAGGCACTGGGGTGGAGAGGATGAGCCTTACGGACAAGTCACACCAGCC